TGTCCATCTTAATGATTCATTTTTCAATCAGTTGGATTATATGTATTTCCATTGGAACTGATCAATACACAGAGATCAGAGAGACAGAAGTCATTTCAAGATTTGCAGATACAGCTACGGAAATACTTAAAAATACAGGTTGTCCATTTTAAAATGTCTTCCCTTTCTCTTTTCCTGCAAAGTTCCCCTCTTCTTATTTCCACTTATTTTGTATGATGAAAACATCTTGCTGCTGAAATATGAGTTTCTCCTACAACCTCACTGACCTTAGAGATGGGCAGGACCAGGAACGCTCCCCCGCCGCTGGATTCAACAATGACCGCCAGGAACTTTGGGTTGACGGCGCAGAAAGAGCTGTCCCACGTCACCTTGGAGACACGGATGTCATCATAGCCCTGCTCGGCCTTGACCGTCTGGCCGAAGACGTGACGAAACTTGCTCTGCCGCACGATGCTGCGACTCATGGCTGAGGTGAGAAGAGGAGGGAGACAGAGGTGAAGAAACAGGAGATGAAGGAGGATGAAGCAGTGGGGAAGTTTAGATCAGAAAATCGAAAAAGACTATATAGAAAAAACTGAACTTTCATGATTACACATTTAAGCATTATCTCCTCATCCAAACTGAAAAACTAAGTAAAATCAGCAGCAGTTTCATGAAGAGTTTGTTCCCTGAACTCATTTTACTGTTGAAAATACTAAAGAAGACTTTAAACAACAGAGTTTGATCAGATCTCATCTCCTCAAGGAAGAAGACCAACATTTTATAAAAGTTATTAAACCTGCTTCCAGTTATGATTGTGAAAGTCCACAGGGTATTTCATTCACCTGTGGTGTATTAATTTATTCAGACTGAAAGTTGCATAACACAGATAGATTTTAGTTTCCTGCTTAAACTGCACTGACACAGATCTCCGTCCACAGCAGTGGAAAGAACATTTACTCCAACAATTACAGATACTTACTGTGCTTTTCCATCTAATTTCATTTGTTACTTGCAATCCCCTCCGTACATTCCAGAGGTTCGTATCATTAAAACCATTTCAATCAACATTGTTTTACTGATAATTTATAGAATTCATATAAAATACCTACATAGTTATTTTTAGTCCTGTCATGAATTAAACTACCAACCAGCATGTAAATCAGAAGTTTAATATAACTCTACTGTAGTGAGAATAAGTTAGTACCTGCTCTTTATATTATATTTATCATCCAGTCATCACAGCAGGTTACTTGATTACTTGGCCATGATTTAAAAATTCACAACAGCTAATGATGGTTATTTTATTTCTCGTCAGGATTGTAGTTTATTTTTTTTGCCCAATTAGCTCCACTTAAATCTATTTACTGTTACTACACCAGAGATTTCTTAAGGTGGGTGTGTCACCTCCTTCAGTGAACCAATCAGGATCCACTTGGTTGTTTGTTCACTGTCAATCAAATCTAGTCAATCCGCACCACAGTCCTGTCGAAAGGGATTTTGAAGCAACCAAATAGACAGCGAATGTTTCTGTTTCCACTCGTGAGTCATCGAGTGATGGATATATTGACTGTGTGTTTTTAGACTTGTTGTTCTGTAGATCCCAGGCCACAGGCCAGAGAAACTGTAATCCTCCAAATCACAGGAGATGTTCTATAACAGTACACGACCATCAGTGTGGTTATTAATAGGTGATTGTCCCACTGAACGCTATGTGGCGGCCAAACATCAGAGACAAACACTAAGACACAGAGAGCTGATAAAACATGGTACTTCATATATAGTACAATACCAACCAAGGTGAAGCTAGAAATACACACTGTGATACAATCCCTATGAGAGAGTAGTTAAAAACTGATCAAACATATATTCCCTGACTGCACAGGCTGACACGAGGCCGCAATTAAAACCCAAAAGTAAAAGTAGGCCTGCCTCCATCCCTGAAGACGCCTGGTAGAAGCAGCACAGTTCTTCCTCGTGTTTCGTGGGTGATTATAAACTCAAACCCAAACTCAGATGTGAAGCCTGTCGGGTCCACGACTCCACCTCACTGATGAGAAGCTGCTTATCTCAACTATCAAGAGATTTACATTCCACCAATTCAAACCAGCCAGCTGTGGGGCGTTTCAGGCCGAACACAGTATCATACACACCTCTAAAAGTATTTGTATTGATACTGTTTCTGTGACTTGTTGATAAAAACGATTGTATTTCATTTCTGTTGGGTTTTTTCCACCTAGATCTGCAAATAAGGATGATCTCCTTGCACAACCTAAAACTAAATTAGAATATTTATATGTTAATTTATTCTCTGATTTGAACATGAGAATGCTTCAAAGTGGAGCTTTAAAAAATATTATAAAGATAAAGATAAGAAAAGTTAGTTAGAAATAAATAAAAGCTTCAACTCTCTCCAAGTTGGTTTTTCACACATTTGGAATGAGCTGAAAGAAGCAGGCTCCCTGACTGAGCTAACGATAAGAAATAATAAGTGATAAAGTTTATTTGTTTAGCACCTTTCAATTTCTGTAGGTTACAAGATGCTTTACTGGTTAGAGATGAAAATAAATAAAGGCAAACAACAGGAAACAAGTTAAAAGCAATTTGAAGATCACACAGCTTTGGAACACAGATACAGAAATAAAAAGAAATGCAACAGATGAGATTAAACATTACAAAATGATTCACATAGACAGTAAGACACCGATGTTCATACTTGGAGCCTTTGCAGAATTATGTGATTTGTTGTAAATGTGGAAACCCCTCCTTTAATTCCAGTCATTCGCCTCCTGTGTGGCGCGTGGCCCAGCAGCTCTGGAGAGTCGGGACAGAGCGAAAGAATGACACTGCCACTTTCCTAATATAGACATGACAGACTGCACTGTCCCACCCGGGCCAGCCGCTCCTCCCACCCTCCCTCCTGCCTGCCTGCTCCTAAATAGACCCAGAATGGAGCCATGGCTCTATGCGTAATGAACGGGTCGTAAATTTAAACAGCCATTGCGCACAAACGCAGATAAAGAACAGAGGTGGTAAGGGATGGAGGGATGGAGAGAGGGAGAGAGGGAGAGAGGGAGAAGGGGGAAGGTTAGTTATGTACAGCAGTTTCTTTAAGTGTCCCCCAGCTGCCATGTAAGACCTGCTCTGGTGACAGGGGAGGACGTGCACACTCGCTCTGTACCGACTTTCAGTGTCTCCAGGACGCACTTGCTCCTCTGTGGTGGCGCAGAAAAGACGCTGACGCACAGCTCCCCTCACTGCAGCACCCACACCGACACACACAGAGTCCTCACCTCAGGTTGTTTTAAGGGGAGACCCCTCTTCCCTGGACGACTCGGAACCGGGTGGTGTTGCAGCGATCGACTCCTCCACCTCCTCTTCCTCCAACTCCTGCTGCTGGTTTTATTCCCTTTAGGATGATTATTCCACGGTGATCCGGCTTCCTGGAGATGGTGCGCACTGGACAACTGCGTGACGCTCCTGGGAAGGGAAGGAGAGAGAGAGAGGGGAGAGAGTCGGAGTACCGGGGCGGAATGGAGGGGGGGGTAGAAGGGGTGAGGGTGGGGAGGTGTAGGGTGGGTGTCCGTCTATTTTGGAACCGGCTCTGTCAGTGCAGGGAAACGTGACGCGCGCCTGTTCCAGGGGGTCAACGCGTCCCTGAAGGGGGTCAGAGTCACTCCAGTGGTTTTTGGCTGTGATCGAAGAGCTGAGGCTTTATCACAGAGAAATAAACACAGGTCAGCTGAGGGCTGACGCTCCTCATTCATGCTTTTCTTTGCTGAGACACTAGGTGATGATGAGTTAACAAAAAAAAGGAACTTGAATGCCAAAGTTGCCCCAAAAAAAGCGTCTGTGGATGAAAAAGCAACTAGTTGGTTTGCATCACAGCAGTTTGTGGCATAAACAAATAATTATTTAAAAAACAGGTAAAACTCTAAACCTGTATTTTTTTTCCAAAATCAATATTTAATGTCACATACAAAAGCACTTGTTTTTTATAGAATCAAAACACTGAAAGACATTAACAACCAGTGTCATTATATCACTATTGTATTTGAATTAGATTTCATTCACCTGCTTTTATTCTATTTTAAACTTTTCACTTTTATACTTGTCAATGTCCCAGGCATGGGATCAATTCAGTTGATCTTATTTTAGAATTTATTGCATAAACCAAGTTTAGATGAAAATAAAACTAATACACTCTTTACTGCATGTATAATTGTTTTGTAGTGTGTGTAAAATTCTTCAATAAAGTCATTTTAGTAATAAAATGTGTGATCATTATACACGTAGGGTAAATACATGTGGCTATCCACCCACTAACCCCAAATTTACAGGATTCTAAAATGTGGAAAAAAGCCTCTAATTAAATGGAAAACCACGTTTAACTATCTTATAAATTCATAAGAACCTTTAACTTTAGCAATTAAAGCAAGAGGATGACTTCACATGCGTTGTTCAACATGTACGTAATTTATTTTAGAGTCCTCGTCTGTTCTGTCAACGATCAAGTAACAAGGAACTTTTTTTCTTTTGCATACATTGCTGTGATCTAACTTAACTCTCACTATTATTACACTCATGTCGTTTTTCAAAGTAAGAGAGAAAATACTCACCTCATGGAAGTAAAAACAATCACAAAGCTGCACAACATGTTGCGGAGGGGAAATTAAGACCAAATAAGTGATAACACAGTGACTGTAAATGTGCTCCTCTCACACTGCAACATACGGAATAGAGCCGACTCTACTCTGAATTAGTTTATCACCTAAAAAAGAGAAAAGTGATAAGTGATTCATTAACTATGGCATTTTTTGCCATTTGCTGCTTTTTATCTATTTCACATCACAGGTTTGACTGTTGAGACGTCTCGTTAGATTCCTGGAAAATTGTGATGTTTTCCTTTTTAGTCTACGAAAAAAAATCAACACATCTTAAAAAGGAGGAAACTTTCACTAGAACGTCACATTTTGATTAAACCTGGGCTGCAAAGTATTCACACAGCACAACAGACTGAATCATTTCCATTGTTTAATGGTCACAGTTGAAGCACATGATATAAAAGAATATTTACACTGATAGTTTAAAATAAAGAAAAAAGGTTTTTGACAATACACACACGCACACACACACACGCACACACACACACATACCCAACAGCTTCTACAATCTAAGCATGAAAAAAACATTTAAAATTAAGCCACATTTAAAAAGAAAAAGGGAGTAAAGTGCATGTATGACAGTCGTCTCTGTACAGACATTTCTGATAGACTGCAGAGAAGCTTCACTTGCCAGTCACAGGCACACTCCTTTAACATGTACAAAGGAGATTACGATCCATGATTAAAAACAAAATGTACACACCTACATGGTAAAAGTTGTGCTACACGGTCGCACTCACACACAGACACAGTCCAGATATAAAAACATGTACAGTTCCTTAAATGTCAAAACTCACGATAAAGACCTTTACTTCTTAAAGAGAACAAAGGAGAAAACCCAATCCCCTAACCTAGGCTTTCTCACACACAGCAATACGTACGAAAAACAAACATCTAGTCTGAGTGGCATCAGAGGACACGAGAGAGACAAGTTTACGTCAGTTTGTCAAGTAGTGAAATTCTAATTGTTTCTGATTGAGACAGACATTCCAGGAAATCCGGAGCCTGACGTTTGTGCAGGTCAGATTTGGTTCAGACGTACTGAGGTATCGTGTCGTCAAAACAAACGTTAAATAAACAGCTTGCCTCTTTCTCTTTGCAAATAACTACTCTCTCCGTCACCAGGTCTGGAAACAACTTTCTTTGGGGATTAAACACTAATCTATAGCGTCCGCGGTTCCACTTGAGCGCGGGAGTTTAGAAATGCTGCTGTCAGCACAATTCATGCATTAAAGTACGGCAGAATATAATTTAATAATATACTTTGACTGTGTATTTTGGCCAAATGAGCCAAAGTTTACATTTAAATGATCTTTTTTTAAGTTTGTGTAAGTGTTGAGTTGATGATGGGCAGATTCATTTATGGTCACACTGCACCAGAAGGACAGCCGTGTCTTTAACTACGCAGCACAACTGGTAAAATGCTGATGAAGAGAGATGAGAGCACAAGAAGAGAAAAACATAGGCTACATTCCACCTAACATCAGGCTGAACGTTTCAGTCAACCTACAGCAATGCAGTAAATATCAAAATGTTGACATGTTGAAATGTTGCAGGCTCAGGCTTATTGATTTTGCAGTTTTCAATTTTCCAATTTGACTTTTTATTTGACTTAATCAGAACCTTCATAGCCTCGCCGCTGCCCTTCCACCGAAACAAATATCTCACAGAGGCTCGTTGTGGATCTGCAAGAAAAACATACAGAAACTATTAAACATATCCTTTAAGGCAAGAGGCATTGGTTTGTTTTGCTGAATAGATCCAACATATACACTAAATCTCCATCTCTCACAGGTGCACATTATCTCTGTCTCTCTCTCTCTCACACACACACAAACATACACACACACACACACAGTGAGGGTTACATGGTGTGATAAATGGTGCTAACAGTTCTTTTCTTGAGCCGCCTCAGGGGGTGAGTCCTTCCATATTGCTGCCTTGCGGTAATGAGCGGCAGCGCAAGCGAATGCAGAGAATCGGGGCTCATGTTGTCGACGTCCCCTCTCTGCTGACTCTGATATGACGGTGGAGGGATTCCTGTTGAGGTTTCTCCAGCTTCAGAAAGCCTCTCCACGTCAACTTCGAGGACCTCTGGCTGCTGGTCGGCCTCGGAAGGAGAGTTGTGCACCCGCTGCTTCTTTGACTCATCGCTCGTGTGAACTGGAGGTTGTTCTGACGGCACAGAAGCAGAGGAGCGGCTGAGCTCCCACTCGCTCAGGTCGTTGGCGAGCAGCTCCAGGCAGCCCAGTTTGGCCAGAGAGGCTGAACGCTTCATCAGGGAGGGAGGGGTCAGCCCCGCCTGGCGAATCCTGGCCTCCACCTCTCTGACCCTCTTCTGGATGCTGCTACTTCGCTTCTGAGTGGATCCAGCACTTAAGCCGAAAAACTGGTCCACACAACTGGTCTTGTAGGCTCCGGCCATGCTCACCTGCTGCAGAAAGGCACCCAGCTCACACAAAGTCTCCCATGTCTCCCTCATGATAATGTCACTGTGGGGTCCCTCTGTGGAGCAGTCCCAGTCTGTGCCTGACTCGAGCTCCGTCACGCCCTCCAGACACAGAAAGTTCACAGAGGCAAAGGGAGAGTGGGCAAAGTGATTGAAGGGATAAGAGGTAGAGAGCAATCTACCATCAGCAGGCTGGAGTTTGTGTCCTTTTGTGCTTCTGTCATTGTTTCCTTGTGCTACATCATCACCCTCCCTTTTAGCTGGTCCAAACTTCCCATCATCCTCCTCCTGCTCATCCTGCACAGTGCTAACTACTGACACCTGTGAGCAAGCAGACGCATCCTGCGAATGAGTCGCAGCTGCAGGATGGATGCTGGGCGCACGCCGCTGCGAACTGGATGTGCCACCAGAGAGGGATGATGGCGACGAGGAGGTTGTTGGAGTCTCATGCTCCTGTTTCATTCTTTGCTCCAGCTGTCGTGTGACGCGCCGCACGGAGCCCCTCGTCCAGTCGCTGTAGAGTCGAGCAGGATCCGCCTCCTCCTCTTCTTTGTTCTTCCCTTCCTCTTTTACATTCTCAGCCTCCTTCTGCGATGAATCATTTCTATCCTCCAGTTCCTGCATAGACGTCCTCACCTCCTGGTCCTGAGGGCCCTCAGGCTGTGGTTGAGGTCCGATAGACGAAGTCTCTGTTTGCACTGTGGGATTTAGTCCTGTGGCCTGCACAGGAACAATCAATTCCTATAATAAAAAGAGAGATCATATAAAGGTGTTAATATAACCATGAAGTTATTGAGGAGTCATTAAAATATAAGATTCAAATTAGTTGCATTCTAAAGTTATACCACCAGGTGGTGCCCTTCAACTCAAGAACCCAAAAGCTGAACTGTTAAATAGAGACCAAATTGAACCCATAGATTTTACAAATATTCAAAATTGTATCTACCAGTTATTCTGACAGCGTATTTTACATTACATTGGATATAAAAATCAATTTCCCTTTAAAAAAAAACATCCCACAATGTCCGCACACCATTCAAATTAAGACCCTCCGAGTCTCCGAAGAGCCTGAGAGATGAAGAGCAGCAGCTTTTGGAATGCTTTCCTCACCTTTCCTTTCTCCTCCTCAGTGGCGCCCCCCTCAGGCTGTGGTTGCTGGTCCTTGGCACAACTCTTCACCTGGGACGACTGCTGCACTGCAGCACAAGGAGTTTTACCATCTTGACTCATCCCCTTGAACTTTTCCCTGGCACTGAAAAAGTTGATGTGATCCGCACTGTGGCCGACCAACACTTCACCGTCCTGTGGAATGGCACTGGGATAGATGATAAGATCACTAGTGGAGGGAGGATGAGCTGCTGAACCGTCCAAAGACGAGCCACACAGCTGCTGATCACAGTCTGGATTTTTGACAGGCACAGGTACAGACAGACTCTGGGGTCCGGCGGAGAGTGTGCTTGGTGTTTGTGTTGCCATGGGCTCAGGCACTGACACTGGCATCGGTATTGTCACAGGCTGAGGGCAGGACGACACCTGCGGTCTGATAACCTTGTCCGTGCAGGCTGGAGTTGGGGGCGGAGCAGGGGGGAGAGGGAGGTGGTGAAGAGAGGGAGGCGGGTGAGGCTGGCCCACCGAAACACTTTGTGCAACAGTCGCTATATCTGTCTTTTGAGGATCAGGCACCACAGTGGCGGCCCTTGGCTGGGATAAAGGAGGTGATGACGGTTGCTCCTCAGCGTCACATAAGCCATTGAACAGCGGAGGAGATAACGGAGAAACAGAGTCAGCTGAGGATTCAGGAGGGGGCGGATCCAGCTGGCTGCTCTGAGCTACAGCAAAACGAGGAGTCTCCAGGCTGCGAGGGACAGCATCGCCTGATAGAGCTGCCACCCCCTCAAAGGATGAAGAGCTGAGCTGATTGGACTTGATGCCAGTATCAGGCTGGCTAGTGGAGTGTGCTGCTTTGCCAGCGCTGGCTGAAGTTGCCAATGATTCCAGCAGTTCTTTCACAGAGGGACCAGGCGCGCTGCTGGACTGGTTATGGGGGTCAGAGCGACCCAAGCTGTGCGGCTGAGCTAAAGATTTAGATAGTGGCTCGTGGTGCTCGGACAAGTCGCTGTCAGAGTGAGAACGCCACAGTTTGTTGTGCCTCTGCCTGCTGTTGGAGAAGGTGACAAGAAAACCAGAAAAACATCTTAATGTTTCGTCATGTCTCTCAAAACCTCTTTATGTATATGGGCATGCCTTTAAAAGTTATTGCTGAATTATTACCTCTGCAGGGAATTAATTTTTCACCCCTGTCCGTGTGTTTGTTCCTTTCTCAACAGAATTAAGCTAAAACTACTGAGCAGATTTCCACTACACTTGGTGGAAGGATAGGACACAGGTCAAGAAAGAATAAATCATTTTGGGGCAGATCCACAAATGTTTTTTTACATTATGAGCAAGGGTCCTTTTTTTAACATTTTCACCAATTTCCCAGCAAATGATTCATGGATTTTGATTTAAAAACAAGGCATATTTAGGGGAGTGATGTCTGTGTGTGTGTAATTTGATGTGTCATACCCAGAAATCCACTTGAAATATGCTTGTGTGTGTCTGTGTGTTTATGTGGGTACCTGGCCAGCAGTATGCCCTGATACTCCTCCAGCTGTCTCATAAAAGAGGGGTTTGGTTTGGTCACAGCTCGACGCTCCTTGACATAATCAAAGGCCTTCTTCAAATCCCATCCAAACTCCTTCATGGCGTATGCGATCACAGTGGCAGCAGAGCGACTTATACCCATTTTACAGTGCACCAGACACTTGGACCCAGCTTTCCTGGTGTGGATATAAAGGATCAAGCATAAGATCAAGATCTGACTGAGTCAAATTTTTCAAAGGAGATAACTCAACTGACATAAACGGAACGAGAAGACAAGAAGGAAGAAGGGATGCTTTTCTCTAACAAAATAAGCAGGTCAGAGCAGAATCATCTGAAACTCACTTGGCTCTAGTTATAAACTTGTAGGTGTCATTCCAATAGGCGAGCAGGTCGGTGGCCTCCTCGTCATACACGCGGATGTTGTGGTACTCGAATACACCAGGGAAGAAGTTATCAATCTCCCTTGTTACATTCAGGATGTACTGAACCCTGAGAGTGAGACACGAATGAGGAAAGATTAGAAGGTGAGACACATTCATTGGATGGGCCTTTGTTACGCTGAGCTTGAAGAATCGACGTCAATATAACTTGTTCTATTGATGTCAGTGTGGTTTATAGTGTGGTTTGCTGCTGTCGTCCTTCTCCTTACCCGCTGTTCTGCAACTCCTCCAAATTGGATGCATTCCACTCAGATCCCTGTAGGAAATAAAAGCAATCCTCAGACTTATTCAATCCTTCTACTGAGCTTTTTCATAATGCTTAAACCCTTATGTACAATGTGTTCTCCAATGTCCACTCCAAAGCAGAAAAGTTCAAAGCACCCTACAATTGGGTGTAATTATAAATCATTCATGTCTAAGCAAAGAGTGTTCTTAATATAATCTGAGATCTAGCAGCACCTTTGTCCTCCTGTGGATGCAGCCTCAGAGTTGTCGTGAGTGGACCTACCAAAAAGACGTAATCGAAGATCTCTGTGGGGCTGTCCATCTGGCCCAGAATGACAATCATCTCATTGTCAATGAACTCTTTGAACTCTCGAAGGTTGCACGTCATGTGCATTTCCAGCTCTGTTCGGATCTAGAGAGCACATCCAGACAGGAAACAGGTGAACACACAGATAAAATCTTGCAAACCTAAACCAAAAATGCAGATATCACATTTCCTTTTTTTTTTTTTCTGAACAAGGAACTTCTTGCATATCACACGACCTCTCTCATACACTGGACATGTGCATGTCAATATGTGGAATCCACCCCTGGTAGTCAAGTTGTAACAATCAGGAAGAAAATCTGACATTGTTTTTCAAAAGTTTCTACCCGTCCTTACTAAAAAGCACGAGTGGAGTTTTCAAACTAAAATGGAGCCGGCAGCTTTTTCTCAATTCTGCTTTTTACACGTTCAACCTCCAGAGTAGTGGGGATAGCAGATGTAACCATAGCAACAGTGATGTGTTTAAAAGCACTAAAAAGCATTTGGATGTAGCCTTACTTTCAATGATGAGTGCGTGAATTTAGAGTGTTGTCAAATGAAAGTCAGTGCAAAGCAGTGACTCACTTCTTTACAGGTCACATTCTCCAGGTCTTTCTGCATCATGATTTCTCTCAGACTGGTTTTGATCTGACGCTCGGTCAGCTCTCTTTCTGTAGGTCTGCAAAGACAAGGTGACATTGAAATATGTTATATTAAATAAGTAATAGCAAATCAATTTCCACATATAGGGTGGGGCAAACAATACAGTTTTCCTTCATTTTAGTTCCAGTCAACATTTAACTGTTGATATTTGTTATTATCATCGATTTACAAGACAAAATCATGATCATACACATAGAGAAGTGGTGGAAGAAAATAAATGAAAAACACATCCCACATCATCTAGATAAGCTACTTACGCATCGGAGAAGAGGACGGGTGAGTCTGCACGGTGAGACATCAGATCCTGCATGGTGTTCCACTCATTGATGCGTGCCTGGTCGGAGGAGACCCTGCTTTGATAGTAGCTGACCCAGGTGAGGAACAGGCTGCCGGGGAAGTAGTTATGACAACGAGCCACCTCACACGCTTTATGGAGTGACTGGAGGGCCGACCTGTGAGACGGGGAATGAACGGGAGAGAATTTGAGATCATGAAATAAAAAGGCTTTGGATTCACAATATTTGACACCAAGATGAACACTTGCTAACAATACGACGAAGATACAAGTATGCATTTCTACCGACTAGTGTGATAAATGCAGTGTGACTCACCACATGGCTTGCACAGAAACAGGCTTGAAGACAAGCACTCTGCTATCAGTTGACACACTGAAGCCCCTGGGAAGAAAGCACAGAAGGAAGGAGACTCAGCACACTGGTGTTGTGATGGATATTTGCTCTGAGATTTAAAGCGTGTGTTGGAAGTTTTCTCACCCATCTCCATCCAGATGTATCAACGTGTCACTCCATAAGGGCAAAACCAGCCCAACAGAACATGAGCTGCAGGGGGGGGGGGAATCTCCACATTACAACTTGATTCAAAACAGACAGACACACACACACAAGCATGTTACTGACTCACCTATCTACCGGACTGAAGTCCATTCCCAGCACCACACTCTCCTCCGTGTCCTGACGACCATTGGTTGAGACCACCACCATGTAGCGGGTGATGGTAGAGTGGACACTCTCCAATCGAACCGCCTGGAGCAGGAAACGAGACGCAGTTGGTTTGACATTCTTAAGAATGAATTTTGAATGCTTCTGTGTTACAGTGTACCCACCAGTTTGATGTTGTCCTCTGGTCTGAGGAGAGTGAACATGGTTTGCAGGTGCTGCTGGATATCTCCTGACAAGACACAACATTTATTAATGTGTGAATAAATGAAAAACGTATTTATTAAAAACAACAATGATGCAATCAAACAATGCACGACTCTTGAGGATTGTTTACCTGCATGTTTGCTGCGTAGCTGTGAAAAACGAGAGGCAGAAGAAGAAGAGGAGCCATTTCCTCGAGGTAAGAAAAGAGCAGCTCCTTTAACTGTCAGGAAACTTTCACTGATGCTGCACAGAAAGAGAAAAACAAAAGTCAATAATACAAAAGCTTTAATAACAAATTGAATCCTTTACTTAAGTTTCCCCAAAATTCAAACCACCTCCAACTTAAGCATTATAAAAACATTAAGGAACTAAATGGCACAAGTAGCCTCGATAATCCTTGTGAGATGTGTGCAGATGAATAATTGAAACAATTGGCTGATTAATTAATTAGTCTGCTGAATATATGCTTCAGACATTTTTAAGCACATTCCCATGTCTCTGCTTTGCAAATGTGAAAGATTTCGGCCTCTAACTATCTTACGTGATTGTAAAGTCGATATTCTTGGGTTCCATCATTGATCACAAACAGATGTCGCAGTCACACATACGCAAATGATGCAGTGGCGAACCTTCGCCTCCAGTCAGGAGAAAATAAATAATCTGCTGTGGCTTCACACGGAGTTCAACGTTAGTGAACTTGACTTCACATATGTGTAACCGTGCCCTGACACTGTAGCTGCTGTTGTGGGGACGCTGTCTTTTTATTGGCCAGCTGAATGAAGCAGAAGCTTTTGTTATTCATTATGAAAACATAAGGTGAATATTGAGTATGAGGGCTTTTGTTATCTGAAAACCGAAGGTATCTTAATAAAGGGGATTTAATGTGATATTTTCTTAGAAAACACAGACGATATCCTGAACAAACATCATGTACGAAACAAAAACAGAAAGGTTTATGTGACTTTATGAGCTTAAAACACTTGTGCAGTTCGCAACAAACCGCAGCTGGCTTTAATAATGTTTTGGCTTGAAGTGGACATGTTCAAAAACATGACAGGACATGGAAGAGAGGAAACTAACAACTGAATCAACCTCTTTGTCACATGAACCCTCCTCTTCCTAAAACAAGCAGACCGAGCCACAGCTTTTTATCATTTACTCAAATTACCTGGCTTTCAGACTTCTGTACTTGAAGGCACAAAATTGAACAACTACTGGCATGAAATTAGCAACTGCAGCTAAGCTTCTTGGCAATTCCAAGTTATGTAATGGACTTAATGAATTCCTTGGAGTTTGACATTGCTCATGACGTTTTCTGAATCACAACCAAAATAGTAGCGGACTAATACACCAGACAAAGGGATAAAGTCACCAAGGTAAAAGTCTCATTGTGTGTTGTTATGATAGAGTCACCAGCGACCCCTGGCTGTACATATCTGTCATAACATACTGATTACAAAGAAAAACACAAGGCAAAGAAGGACGATGAAGAAGATGATGAAGGACACAGGCCTGATGTTACATTTTTCTGAATAGTCAAAATCAGATTTTGAAAGACCCTCTGCCCTGTATCCTGTGAGACAAAGGAAAAGCTGACAGCTCTTTTACAAAGTGTAAATGCACACTAACAGTAGACAGATGTCTCATACGGGGGCGGATAATGTGTAAGTGCTGACAAACTATTGACATGGCTGATCAAACACATCAATTACCAATAAACAGAAGTTTGTTCTCTACAGACAATTAGCTGAAGCGTGTGCTGCGCTGCAGTGCCCCACAAACATCCATGTTAGGCACATCTCTAAAATGAGACAAAAACCTGAAGGCGGGTGGAGGGGAGTGCATGTGGGCAGATGAGTGTGGCCTCCAGGAGCAAAGGGAAGGAAACACCTTCCTCCTGCTACCAACTCTGCTGTCATATCCTTCCCATTAAATCATCATGGGAAAACCACAAGCCTTTGTCACACCAGTTCTCTGCCAAAAACTGGAGAGCAGGACAAATAAGAACATGAACCTTGTCCAGATGGGATGTGCAGGGATTTTCCATGAAATCTACAGAAGAAAACAATCCAGACACTGGATCAGACTCTGGACACTAATGAGGATATGAGAATTCAACAACCTCAGGATGTTGCTGCAAACATTTCTTTGACTCACAGCTGATAGATTTCCCCCTGAGAGACCACAGAGACCACAGAGTTGTCGGTGAAGCGAGGTCTCATCTTCACCGCGCAGCAGACGCAGAAGCAGCCGGCTGACGAGCTCCGTGGCGCGGTCACAACACCGGGAGGCATCGCTGCTCCGGTGGCGGGGGCAGGGCGCACAGGGGCGGGCTGGAGTTACCGAGAGTCGCTGCTGTGGAGTGGAGGTGGTCAGTCCGCAGTGCCACGGCAGTTGTGATAACAGCTGTCACGTTTTGTTCTTAACGGACATTTGCAGTTGTAGAGAAATATCCGATGCTGGTTTAAAGAGCGCAACGATCTGATGGTGAGAGGCGGACAGATGTTGAACACGCTGCCGCTGTGGAGCAGGTGCCTGGGAACATCTGGTCAGTGGAGCTCCTGCAGCAGGCTGCGGTAAATCCTGCAGCTGACGGGGGGGGGGAGGAGAGACACTGACCAATCACCGACTGTCACAGCCTGTATGGAGGCTTATTAGTGCCACAGTGTCTGTGGTGAACAACACGACCTGTTTTTGAAGCATCAGAGGGGATGTTTACCCTGCACATGATTTATGAACTGGATATTAGAGCTGGGCAATATGGTATTAAATCACTTATATCAAGATCAATCAATTCCATAATTATGATAAATGTCAACTTCTTATTTCTAATTTAAAGACTGACTTTAGCTGGTTTGTGGTTTCAAACTGTTTTTCGCAGAAAATGACAAACACTTGATAAATAGCAAAACTTTTTATGAATCGTGATTATATTGCAATAAAAAAAACACTATATTTGTCCTGCCACATTTTTATAATAATACAAAAATATTTTATTAGAGCTGGGAATACAAACAATATCAATAGTTTTTACAACATAATTTTCATGAATGGTACAATAACAAGTCCAATAAATATATATATATATATTAGTGCATTATATAAGCACAGTGAGGAATTATAACACATAATTGATTAACCTCAGATTTGTCAAAAGTTTTGCTGTTCATCAAGTGTTTGTCACTCTTTGCCAATTAAGAAGATTTTAAAACTAAAATCTTCACTCAGGAGGAAAACTCTGTCTTTAAACTTGAAATAAATAAATAATGTGACATTTATTTAGATAATTATTAACATTGACGAAAAGTTGTGCAATCTTAGAGGCCACTTGAAAGTTTACTTGTGTACTTCTCCATCCCATCTTGTGTTCAAATATTTTATATCAACTCACTCAACATATTTATTTTCCTTTGCAGCATTTCTACAACATGCCACAGCTTTCCAGACTGATATAAATGAAAAGGGTGCAAAGAAACCTGGTTACTTAGATACCACAACAACAGTTCTCCTGATTAAGCATTAATTATCCCCTACACCCACAGGGACATCCTCTGTGTGGGCCACACTCTGAGCACACGTGTGTTTTCTGCACCCTGCTGCTGGTGGAAAGGTGACAAAGTTGTGTAATCAATTCTAGGTCTGTAGCCTTACAGGAAAATTCTCACCGGAGTCAGCGACACCTGACACCTTATGACACCTGCTTCCAGCAACAGCACAACAACACTACCACCACCACAACAAGGGAGATTGAGAAATCAAAAAGGAGAGGTGATCAGGCCGCTCGTGATCCGAGGGGGAAACTTGACCTTAGACTTGGTTACGCTGCTTGTTGATTCCTCATGGTTTCAGTTTATAGATTGGTTTACAAACCAAGGGTTAATGGGTGGTCACCACCTGACTTCTAATTCATTTCACAGGATAAACAACAACAGCAGTGGTGTTTTCCTTTCAGGCCAAACTGTGACTAGTGCAATATTGCACAAGTGTGTGTCTGCTTGTGTCGTGTGTGTTTGTGGTGTTCTGGATCTCCATGGTCAAGCAGCCAAGAGACATGATTCAGACCCAAGATGAAGTGGGACGATCTCTCAGTGATCTTCACATGATGAAGAGTGTTTATTTTCAGGACTGTTGACTCACAGGTGCTTTATTATATATTGAAGCATGTGGATTAGATGGTGAGTACAGTCACTTAGTGGAAACATCTAAGGAGACAGAGATATACAGTTGATGGTTCAATACCCTTTGGATGTTTTCATTGCTGTTTAATCCAAAAGCTGCCTCTTCTCTTCCATCTCCTTTTAGGTCATTTTTGTGACAAGGAATTAAATGTCTATCCATGAATCCTCATGGGCTATAATACTGTCCTAGAAGCACATGGACTCCCAGCAACCTACGTGTTTTTGGACCCATTTTACTGTTCTCTCATTTGTCTGCTGAAATTCACACCGTCCTGAGCAGTAAAGGCCGGCATGTGTCTTAACATGCAGACAGACACCAGATACTCCTCTGTTGCTCTTACGTCTCCATGTATACAAATACACAGACAGTCACCTTGGGGATCAGATCACATATATATATATAATACGGTGCATCCAAGGCTGTTCAGTTTCTCCTTTACCTACTGATTTGAAACAAACATACAGAGACAAATATACACTGGGAGCCAACGCCAATGGACAAGGGGTGTGGACTCACAGACACAAACTCTGAACCCTCTTGCTCTGAGGCAAAAGAGGTGAAAGTACCATCATCTCACCCAAGATTACAAGAGTGACGTAAAAAGGTTTAACAGAGTCTTGAGTGACGTAAAAAGGTTTAACAGAGTCTTAGCGGCACAATGTAAACTGGGAAGAAAATTACACCAGTGACCTTCTTTTTCAAATTCATGATTTGACTTTCCATCTTATTGAGGATTTACAGATTATAAAAGACATGGGAAAAAAAACCTTCAATCAAAGCACCACATTAAATTCCTGTTCTTGCCTCCGATTTCACTCCTGTAGGCCCTCTAGTGACGTTGTTGCTTTAGCTGATGTCAGTGCCTTTAATCAGCAGAACTGCAGTGGGCCCTGCTTACGCACACAGACACACTGCATCACTAAACACTTATTCTAGTCCGAATGAATGTTGCTACCTGTGTCAGAGATGAGCTCTGCTGCAGCTGCTGACGTATGAGGACAGGCAGCCTCACGGACATCTGGGGCGTGGGCGAAAGCGAACAAACTTGTCTCAAGATTTTAGGA